AACAAAACACCAGATCGACGAACAGTTATTACATACCACCTTGAATATCCATGATCCTCGTCATTTTAACTGAAGCCCACGACTCATGAGCTAGCAAAGGTTGTTCAACCTGATAGCTCTAGCTGATATTATAATACGGCGACACTTTAACTCGGTCAACCAATTTGCTGATCCCATTATTGATGAGGTTGCTGATCCACTCTATTCTTAATTAAGAACTAAGAAATCTACTCGTACTATCCGCCGAAGCTTCCGACATATGTCCAGCTGTATGTCGACATATCAGCACTCTATATTCCCATCCCTAGCACGCTACATAACGTGTAAAGAAACGGAAATCCAGAAGTTGCGATGAGACCTGTCTCCATAATAGGTGTGGATTTCATGTGAACCTCTAGGCGTTGGAGTATTTTATTAACGTATCCTTTAGTTTCAGTGAATGTAGCCATGTTTTACTGAAAATTGTGGATGTCAGCATAAAAGTAAAGCGCATTTTTCTATCTCTTTGCAGATGGGCAGTAAGTGAAGTTCTCGGGCAGAAGAATGACTGGTTAAGGTACCGTATGTCACTTCATTGAGCGGTTGTTCAAAAAGCTACCTTCTTACATATTTAATTTAGGTAGATTTGGTTTATTACAGTTCCGCTGGAAATAAGCCATGAATGGCGTTATGCGATAGGTGGATCGGGGATTTTACTAAAGCCATTGACGTTGCATTTGCCCGTTTTAGGTTCAAGACTGAGGTTAGGGCCAAGGTCGAGTTCAGGGCTATTGTGAGGACTGGGGTTGTCCGGTCCTGATTATGATTTCGACTTTGGGATGAAATTTGGGTTGATATCCATGTTAGGTTTATTATTATCTCAAGGGTAGAGTTTTAGGGCCTGGGGTAATATTATGGTAAAAACTGGGTTTTCTTTCAAGACCCGTGGGTTACAATTGAGGATTAACCTTAAAAAACATGAAAATCATTGGTGTAAGGGTTATAGATGACTAGAACTTTCCCAATAGAAATTTACGTACTCTATCCAAATTTGACATTTACCGATAAAGTGTCCAAAGTTTAGAATTGCTGGATTGCAGTTATAGGTGAATTCTATCGGGGAAAATAAGGATTTCGCCTGTTCTTTTTTGCGCTGACTGATTTTAATCAATAAATATTGTTCAGAAGGAGATGAAGAAGAAGAAGCGACCACGAATCCTTAATCATAGCTAATCGCAGAAAAGTCTGAGACATGCGCAGTCAGTTAGCCTTTGTTAACCTATATTACGGTAAGGATAACCTCTTAGCATTACTAAAGGATCACATTACACTAACAACCTGTAAAAAGCAAATGACCCTTATGTATAAAATACCTCTTTTGCATGTAGCGATAGAAAATTAAGTAAATAACGCAGGCTCGTATGCATGATTCTTTACAATCACTGAAGACAACTCAAACAATACTATTTATATAGTACATGTGTGGATACTTAGATACGACGGAAAAATAGTATTATTAAATAAATGTCTAATTAGCTTTAACGCCTAATTCGTGTTGAAATATATTTTTCAATTGATATACTATCTCCACATGCGAAATAAAAAGCTTTGCATTTAACATCGGTCCCGCTTAATATACATATGTGGTCTAGCGTTAGTTTGGTGATATTTATAATCCATGCTTACCGATATTGCTAATCTCTCGCCGTTCTTTGAGGTATTAGCGATAATTTCTTCACAGCAAGAGTTAATCATTACATCCCTTCATCTTATTAAATCAACACTAGAAAAAAGAACACTGTAGTCACAGTAGTCTAATAGCATTTTTTTCGTTACAAGCTGGACTACGTGCCAAGATTCATCCGCTAGTGCTGCAAAGGTCATTCAAAACATTTGGGTCGGCGTTTTTAGGCGCTCCCCAGAAATTATCATGATTGATAGGTATAGACACGATTCGGTTACCTCCACTACACATCATGTGTACTTTGTCATGTGAATTCTAGGCTTAAATGGCTTCACGTCTAGATTTTTATAAGATACCTGGATGTAACACCATTTTGACACTGTTATAAATACTTCTTTTAAATAGATTTCCACGAGGCGGAGCGATTAGCGCCAAGTTACTAGGGCTGCTTACTCCCTCCCTTAGCTGACGAATGTTTAATTTAGCGGATGGAAGACCCCAGTAAGCTTTGCCAGGCACCAACAACAGCAAAATCATCGCCTATGATGGTGCTTGTCCCGTCGAAAGAATACCCATTATCGACTTGCTGAAGTCTCGTATGGTTAGTCTACTGTACAGTGGATTAACTCAGTTTGAATTCCGGTCATCACTGGTATCGCGACGGCACCAACAAAGACGACTACATCAGCTGAAAATGTAACTATACTGGACTCAACTCAGGGTGGTTCTATCCAAGCCGCAGTCGACACACTCGAATTGGAATTTATTCACCCTAACACATTTACCGTGGAATCAAGACACCCATACCGCCCTCATTTACATTATAAAAACAAACGACTCAGCCTGTCGTCAAAAAAAAACACTATTTTTCAGCCGCGGTCAAGGTGAATCTAATGAATTGTTCCACTAAAATACGATTTCCAGATGGGAACAGAAGCTTATCTTATAATTTTGTTTAAGCCAAAATATCTTCCGATGAAAGCAATATTTCGGCTAGAATTTCGTTTACTGTCTAAATGCCTTGGCCGTAGACTACTTCACTGCAGATCGATCGTCGTGCTCGTGACACAAGAGGGAAGTCCCCAAAAAGCGATACTCTCAATCGGCACCCTAACCTTACTTCTAACTCTTCTTCTTAAACGTGACCCCAACCCTATAGTCCCTGGGATTTAGCACAAAACGTACTTTAATTTGTGGGCTCATGCGGTCACATTGGTAAGCTACTCCTACAAGACGATTTTCAGATCCCGCCTGCGGATGAAACAGAAAACTTAACCAGTTCTTAACAGAGGTAGTTCGAAAGCTCAGAACAATAAATCAATTGATCTGATGCTCGATACGTCTTCTTCCTCGTCTGCAGGTAGTTAATTTAAGGAGACACAAGTCATAAGCCTGACGAATATAATCCTGGCGATTTCGGTCCGCCGTGTAGCTTTGCGAAATTGGTGATCTATGCACGTACGACGCCAAGGCGGAACGTTTTTGCATTAGCGGCCCATATCAAAGCGTTCACCTACCCAGAGCTGATGTGGGAAAAAAATCATGACTCGAACGCTAAACAAAGGGTCATTTTCGTGCTCTAGTCCGCGGTGGCTGTTGCTACCGTCACTATGACAACCAGCACGCCGTTGACAGAAACCCTACCACAGAATGTTACACAACCTTAGGCTCAGGGTGAAGAAAAAGGACTGTTTTTCGCTAAAGTGCACGTTCCTCAGGGGGCGTAGAGTTTGTCGGATGTTTTGGTGGAAGCTGATGCTATTTTTAGTTGGAAAGATCTGTTGTTGACACGCAGCTTAAAATGGGAGACATGTTACCGGGAATCTGACGGCCTCACAGATCTTTCAACAACTCCAATATTGCCTAAATCTCAAAGAGAATCTAAGGAATTGTATCCCGTTCCCTGCTTAAACTGTCCTTTTAACTACACATCTCAAACTGAACGCATGCTCGGGTCGTGCATGCAGCTATATAAGTTGGCTGCGCACTGGATTCTGAGTTATTGCAAGTTGCTCACATAACTGCAAACTGGGCCCTGCGTTTAAATTCGAAGTCTTCAGCATACTCGCTCACGTCGGAACCAAGACGACCCGAGAATTAATTGAAGTCTAGGCCACGGAGAGGAACTCAGGCAACTGATTTATCGACATGGCGCCGGCGTACGAAGCCTTTTTCAGCCACCATCGCCACACTTGCGTCCTTGACTTGCCTGATCATATCTGCCTTATCTGCTACTAACAGACTCAGGCAGGCTCACGGTTCAAAAGCTGTCTGTTTACCGTTG